CAGTGCAATCCTGCAGGGATGTGCAAAGGGTTCAGGGGCTGTGGGGGACACAAGGGAGCTACTGATTCTTCCTGTTTGGGCTGGGGTCAGTTGAGAAATGTGAAAAAGGATTGAACTTTTGCTCTGGGACTCATAACAATTCTGTGAGGTGCAGGGAAGGGTTAATAGCATCCTCATTTTGTGGTAGGGAAACTGAGGTACTGCACAGCTCAGTAACCTTCTCTTGTTCAGAAGCAGTGGAGTAGGGATGGGTTTCCAGGCCTGTCTGCCTGGCCCCCGCCCTCCCTGGTTCCAGGTCCTGGAGGAGGCAGGGATAGTTTCAGGGCCTAGCTCAGCTTAGTTACCAGGCTGGGTACGATTGGGTTAATCATTTTGGAAGTCAAAGAGGACTCTGGGGCCACTGGGGTTTGAGGCCTTTGTCCTGTCTCCCAGCCCTGCCCCCACCTCTAGTAAGTCTCTGCTTTCGTCCGGAGGGAAACAGTGGCCCCTTGTTTTCTCCAAGTTCTGAACTCCAAGTGCCACACAGAGCAGGATCCAGCATGGGCCCCGTGAGATGGCGTGACTTGGAAACGGAGTGGCCACAGACCTCAGGCCCCGGCGGGCAGCCTTTCATAGAGACACCCTTGCTCCTATTGAGAGGGACACATCAGACCCCGTTCTCTGAGGAGAACAAGAAGTCCCTGGGAATGTTCTCTTTTCTGAGGGCAGAGTGTGGTCAGAAAAGCAGAATGACAACCGTGAAATGAGTTCCTGTCCCCATGGCTTCTGGGAGACATGCCTCTATGGTGTCCTTTCCTCTCTGGCATCCACTTGCATGGTGTCCTCCCCTCCATGGCATCCCCTGTCTCATGAGCTGGTCCCTTTCTCCTGTGGGGGCTGCACCCAAGGGCTCATCCCCTTTCCAGCCAGCGGAGAGAGGCCGCAGCCTGTTTGTGGTGTGTTCGGGGAGGGAGAGGCCGCGGCCCGTTTGTGGTGTGTTTAGTGGGGGAGGCCGCGGCCTGTTTGTGGTGTGTTCGGGGGGAGGCCTCAGCCTGTTTGCGGTGCATTCACAGGGGAAGACTGTGGCCCATTTGTGACGTGTTCAGTCGGGGAGGCCGAAGCCTGTTTGTGGTGTGTTCGGTGGGAGGAGTCCACGGCCTGTTTGCAGTGTGTTCGGGGAGGAGGGAGGCCATGGCGTGTTTGCGGTATGTTCAGTGGGGGGAGGCCGCGGCCTGTTTGCAGTGTGGTCGGGGAGAGGGGAGGCCGTGGCCTGTTTGTGGTGTGTTCAGTGGGGGAGGCCGCAGCCTGTTTGCAGTGTGGTCGGGGAGAGGGGAGGCCGTGGCCTGTTTGCGGTGTGTTCAGTGGGGGAGGCCGTGGCCTGTTTGCGGTGTGTTCAGTGGGGGAGGCCGTGGCCTGTTTGCGGTGTGTTCAGTGGGGGAGGCCGCGGCCTGTTTGCAGTGTGGTCGGGGAGAGGGGAGGCCGTGGCCTGTTTGCGGTGTGTTCAGTGGGGGAGGCCGTGGCCTGTTTGCGGTGTGTTCAGTGGGGGAGGCCGTGGCCTGTTTGCGGTGTGTTCAGTGGGGGAGGCCGTGGCCTGTTTGCGGTGTGTTCAGTGGGGGAGGCCGTGGCCTGTTTGCGGTGTGTTCAGTGGGGGAGGCCGCGGCCTGTTTGCGGTGTGTTCACAGGGGAAGACTGCGGCCCATTTGTGATGTGTTCAGTGGGGGAGGCCGCGGCCCATTTGCTGTGTGTTCTGGGAGGGAGACAGTGGCTGTTTGTGGTGTGTTTAGGGAGGGAGACTGTGGCCTGTTTGTGGTGTGTTCAGGGAGGAGACCGCGACCCGTTTGTGGTGTGTTCAGGTTGAGGAGACCCCTTCAGGGCAGTCGTGGCACATCAGGTACCTGAGGAAGAGCCACTAGAGCTGCCAGCAGCCCTGCTCGTACCCAGCACAGATGCCACAGGGAGAGGCGGCCACACCCGAGAACGGCCCAGGCCTAATGTGTGTCCCAAGCAGCTCTTCTCACAAAAGGGTTTTACTGGCATGGAAATGGTTGGAAAATACACAAAGGAGGGTGGCCCATTTCCAGAGCTCAGCTGTTTACCTTCAGCAGAGTGCTGGGGATGCGGAGAGCTTATTTTCCAAACAGCTGTGGTTGTCAGGTCTACAGGCTGCAAGCTGATGCCAAGCGAGGACACCAGGGGCGTCCCCTCTGCTTACCTCCTTCCCAGTGCCAAGGGGACCCCACAGTTTCTCTCAAGCAGGGCTGTCTGGAGATGTGGGTGCTGGTGGGCATGGGGGTTCTGCAGTCCGTGTGCATCTTTCCTGTGGCCTGACTTCCCCTGCGCGTGTAGCTCTCTTGGTCTCAAGAGGCTGGCCTCTCATTTGTGGTGCCTGTCCCACTGGAGCCATGGGGTGTAGTAGAAACAGGTTGGTTTTGGCTCTGTTTGAGAACCTAGTGTTCTCTTCCCATGGCCTCTCTACCTTCCTTCAAATTCTGCTTTTTCTGGGAAGAGGTGTTGGGTGGAGTGAAATTTGGAATCTGTGGTGAGAGCCAGCAAAGCTCTTGCAGCTTCTTCTTTCTGTCAGAGGGGAAACTGAGGTCCAGGGGATGGCAAGCCAGGTTAGCAGGCTGCTTGTGGAGGCTGACACGTGGGCATTGGTGCACAGCCTCTGTCCTGGCTGCTCCACCTGCATGGCCTTGCTCGGTGATTTTCCTTCTTGGGCCATTAATGTCCTGTCCTGGTCTGTGCAGCGGGGAGAGTCTTCCCTGGCCCCCGGGCTTGCCGTGAATAAGAGCCAGCACCCAGTCTCAGGAGATACTGGGAAATGTCTTTCCCTTCCCCTTCATCCAAGAGCCCCAGAGAGGAGCAGCTTCTCAGCTGGCCTGGTTTTGGCTTTATTTTGTGTTGTTTTGTACACAGGCCGGTCACTATGGGGAGGGAACAGCATTTCTTAGTATTTTCTTATTGTGAGGTCTAAAGGACTTTTAAAAATATATATGTAGAGGAAATCCCTTAACATCTTTCCTGGCAAACAGTAAGAAAGGGGAGTTAAAGACACAGCAGGCAAAAGCTGGCATGTTCCGGGGCTCCAATGGGGAAGAGTTTAGTAAGGGACCACCACAGGGTGTGAGAGGGCCTGGGAGCCAGCAAGGGACAGGGTTCCCGGTGCTAACAAGCCCTGAGAGCTGTCCCCACCCCTAGGCCTGGGGGCACAAGAGCCCAAAAATGTACCTGGAGCCATAGGGAAGGCTGTTTAGAGAGGCACTGCCCTGCTCTGAGGGGGCTGTGACTGTGCCAGAAATATGGCAGGAGGTGGAGTGTGAGGATGCTACGAATACATCCCTCCCTCTCTCCTTCTTGCCCATCTGCTATGCCTCCAGTTGGCCCAACTTGGCCAGAGGTCAAGGCAGCCAGGTAGTTGTGTCCTTAGAGGACACTGTCCAGGGCACTGAGCAGGCATAGGGAGTGAGGCTGTGGGGATAGGCAGAGGGAACGGAGTGAGAAGCACAGCCTTAGATCTGACTTTGCATCCCCGCTTCACTGCCTTCCTGCTGTGAGACCCTAGGCAGGTTTTAAAAGTCTCCCTTCTCTGGCAGGGTGTAGTGGCTTACACCTGTAATCCCAGCACTTTGGGAGGCTGAGGCGGGTAGATCCTGAAGTCAGGAGATCAAGACCATCCTGGCTAATATGGTGAAATCTTGTCTCTACTAAAAATACAAAAAATAGCTGGCAGGGTGGCACACCTCTGTAGTCCCAGCTACTGAAGAGGCTGAGGCATCGAGAATCGATTGAACCCTGGAGATGGTGGTTGCAGTGAACCAAGATTGTGCCGCTGCACTCCAGCCTGGGCGACAGAGCAAGACTCTGTCTCAAAAAAAAAAAAAAGTATCTGTCCTCCACTTTCCTCATTTGTAAAATAACTTTTCATAGTGGCTGTTAAATAAAATGAAAGAAACACATGCAAGCTTTGAGCGTGGTGCCGACTGCCAGTGACCATTTGCAGTTGTCACTTATGATGTCTTTCGTAACAACTTTAAAACCGTCGGCCTTGAATTCTGGAGGGAACCCCACTTGGGGGTGGGGATGAGAGCAGGGGTGGGGCTCGTGGCCTCTGGCCTCTACTGAGGCCAAATTGGGGGTCAGCCAAGTGCCGGGCTGGCGCCACTGCCTCTGAGGCACTGGCCTTGCAGGTGGTGGTGGCCGCGTGCCGGGAGGGAGACATCTGGCAGGTCAGGAAGCCGGTGTCAGGCTGCCCCGGCTTTTGGCAGGTGCTCCTGTCTAGGGGGTCAGGTGTCGCTGACTGTCGGCCAGAGGCTCTGGCTCCCTTGGGGCCTGATCTTCCCAACCTCATGCACTTGAAAAAATAAACACGTTCCCCGGCAGAGCAGGGGAGCAGTATGGGACAGATTGCAGGCAGCCCCGCGCGCCTTCACTTTTCCTGATGAGCCCAGATTTTGGTGTGAAGTGCAAGCGTCTGGTCGCTTAAAGCAGCAGCTTCTAGATTCCTGAGGACCACAGCTTTGCTAAGACTTTTTACAAGTTAGCAGAAGCAGCATCCACTTCGATCTAAGTTCTGATCCGGGTGTGTGATGTTAGTCATTTACTTAACCCCTTGGAGCCCTAGTTTCCCTGGGTGGTTGGGCAGATGGGACATATTCAGAAAAGCTTTTCTCTATAAAGCCGTTTCTCAGCATCACTTGCCTGGCGTATTGACACTGTCGCCTTGATTCCTCTTGTGTGTCTTCTGCGTCCTGGGTCACATGGGGCTTGGGGAACAGAAGTACAAACGTGGGCCCTGCCCTTGAGGAGTTAGCAGGAGGGATGAGTCACAGGGTCTTGGAGGGTTTGTCCTGCTTGTCCTGTTGGTATTTCCCGTGAGTGTCAGCCCTCCTCCTGCCGCATCTCTAGAGTGAGATAGGGAGGCTCAAGGTTCCTCTGGTGATATGCCATGGGGTGGACAAGAGAATGGGGCAGTGGACTCAGTGCTGAAGTTGTTGCTTTTGTCTGTGTTCCCTGCCTCGCAGCTAAACCTTAACCGGCCGATTGAGGAGCAGGGCCCCCTGGATGTCATCATCCACAAGCTGACCGACGTCATCCTTGAAGCAGACCAGAATGATAGCCAGTCCCTGGAGCTGGTGCACAGGTTCCAGGTGAGTGAGGACTGTGCAGCCTTTGGCTGTGGCATTTTCAGGAGGAGGAGGGGAGACCCTGGAATGGCTGTGTGTGTGTTTAGGGTGGTAGCAGCTCTCTAGAGGTATAGGCTGGAGAAATGGCTCTGCCACTGGCAAGACATGGGCTCCTGGGCAGGTATTTCTCTGTGGCCTCAGTATCCTTGGGTATAGCATGGGGACCACACCAGGGCACGGTTAGCCCGTCTCTACCCCTGGCTGTGTAGACATGGTTTTCCGATGAGTTCCATTGTGGTCTCCATGTTCTCAGCACAGGCATGCACAGCCCTTACCCATGGCTTGGGTTGGCACAAGGGATGGAACCCTTTTGCTGTACTTGGTAAAGGGAGCTTCCAAGGGTCTTTGAACTGAGTCCTGCCTTGATGGAGAGCCCTGCCTCTGCCCATCACTTTGACCTGGGTACTCACCTTTGAGCACGGCCTGAGGTGTCTTACTGAGTCCCTTGGCTGCTTCCCCAGCGGCCTCCCAGGTCCTGACCCCACAGTGACCTGCCTGTTGCCTTGGGGTTCTTGTGCTGGCTACTGACTTGCCCTGTGTTCTTTCCGTTGTGGACAAGAACGTGATTCTGTCCTCTGGAAAGCAGCTCAGAGGTCATGAAAAACAAATTGTATTGTCAGTGAAAATGCAGGCAAGATCATTACGATTTTTGGGCCTGCCTGGTGGGCTGGGGATGCCTGAGCTGGAATTTCTAGCCTGTGACAGACACAGATTTGATGCCCTGCTTTTCTTCATCAGGACAAAGGGAATCTCGCCCTCCTCCTGGTCACCCAGAGCTGCCATCCTGCTGACACCATTCTCTCTCCACCATGTTTGGGGTTGGCTGCCTTGGCCCCTCTTACTTCCCTGGGGCTCTCACCCTGTTCCTTCGCCAACTCCCTGCTGCACGCTCCTGCTTCCCACCAGGAAGTGGCTCCAGATGCAGGTGCAGCCTGCTCCTGGCCTCCCCTGATCAGGGGTGGGGCATGTCCCGCCTTGTGCCCTCCAGGGCCTCTGCCCCGCCAGTGGCCCCAAGTCCATTCTACTTGCTGGGCGTTGTCTTCTTCATAGGGCTAGAGCCTGTGGGAGAAACATGGGCTCCTCTGTGACCTCGTGGAGACTCAGTTTTCTTATTTGTAAAATGTTTGCTGGTAAAAAGAAAAACTCAGACCATGTTGGGAGGAGTATGCTGGGATTAGAGGGGAACAAGACAGAGGAAATGTGTGCCCTGGTGATGTGCTTCTTCCTAAGCCCCTGCCCCATGCCAGGGCTGGGCTGATAAGCGCTCTCCCATGTGCTTCATGTGATTCCCACAGCCTCCAGAACAGACTCGCCAGCCTTGTTTATAACCAGGAAGTGGTGGCGTGGAAGCCTGTGCAGGTTGTCTACAGGGACCTGGCAGAGCCGGGGGTCAGTCTTGACTTTCTCAGGTGAACCACTGCTCATCCTGAGGGGCTTGCTCTTCTCTTCCTCTTTGGCTCCAGCCACACAACTGTCCTGGGTGTGGCCCCAGCTGATCCCAACTCATGCAGTGACCTTCCTGTCCCCTGAGCCATTTGCGTTTGCCTCACTCCCATCTCCTTCGAAGGCCTCTGAGTGCCCAGTTCGTGTACCTCTGGTGCCTTGGGGGACATTCTCTGGAGGAACACAGCTATGCCTGGGCTGCCACACAGACCTTTGGGGCAGGGATGTCATATCTCTTGCTGAGTCCAACTAGGGGACAGTGGCCTTCCAGACGCCCTTTGGGAAGGCAGGGTAATGTGTGAAGACAGCAGCCACAATTACCATTACCACAGAAAGCTCTGTAGAGCAGTTCCCACATGCCAGGCCCTCCTGGAAAACGCTTCATAGCGGTTGACCCACTTGCTCCCGTGAGCTGTCAGGTTCGATGATTCCCATCCTGCGGATGAGGAAGCAGACACAGGACAGCTGGAAAGTGGTCCAGGTGCGATTTGAGCCTGTGCTAGCTTGCTCTCCCCACCTCCCATGTGGCCTCTCCAGAGATGGATGAGATAGAGAGGACTTGGGAGTCAAACTGTCTTCAAGGCAGATCCTTGCTCCAAAACTGAGGGGCTGCACGCCTCCTCTCAACCTCAATCCATTCCTCCTTGGGTGGGCAGGTAGCTGGGAGGAGTAAATGCCTGTGGGTGTCAAGCGCCTGTTGTAGCTGAGTACCACTTCATCACATCCACACGGTTGCTCTTCCTAGAGAGAGGGCCACAGCTTTGGCTAGTCTGGTCCGGAGTTCCGGAACATCTACTCCCAAGCTCTTATCCCTCCTGCCTATGCCCCAGACACACACAGAGCCCAGAGCCCAGGCAGGTGATGTCCAAACAGTGAATGAGAGTGCCCACTGTGTTCTTTTTCTGGGCAGAAAAGAACATTAACAGGAAGAACGTGTGGAGGGCAACATGGGGACATGTGGCTTAAGGCTGCCAGGCAGCTACAGGTGCGTTTCCCATGCAGGGTCTTGGCTGGGTCTTGGCAGATGGTTGCTGTGACCTCACTGTAACCTCCCAGCACTGGTATTTCTGGGATAAATTTTCATCGCCGTCTGTGCTTCAGTAAGAAGCCGGATATCTGATAAGGTAGGAAGTTTCCTCCTTTGTGAAAAGAACAATCCTTTGGGGAAAAGGGTGCAGGGCTGCACTTTCCAGAGGTCCCAGGAGAGAGGAGGCAGGCGGGGCTGGCAGAGAAGGACTGAGAGGCACTGGGATGGGGCCGGGGTCTCCTTCCACCAGGCACTGGGCTGTCAGCGTCAACCATCCCCCTCCCTCTGCCATTAGATGCAAGTTAAGAGCCAGACCACTAGACCCAGGGAGGCGGACACTTACCCTCAACTGCACCCTTTGTTTTCAAATTTTTGTTTTAATTTTTATTCTCTAGACATTAACAAGGAGGCATGAGTGTGGTCTGGGGAGTGAGAGGGACAGGGGTGCTATAGTCAGAGGCAGGGAAGCAGCTCCCAAGGCTGCGGTCCTCCCATTTCCTTGTGAGCAGGGAAACCGAGGCAAGATGCTTTGTCCTAGCAGGGGCTCAGCTTGAAGGTCCTTCTCCACAGGCCATATTCAGGTCCTAGGAGGAAGGAGGAAGTGGTTTGGGGCTGCGTGGGTGAAGGAAAATGAATTTCTGAGATGTTCCTCAGAGCCCCAGAGCACTGCACCACGCTGTCTCTGTGAAAGCTCTGGTCCCCAGGGAGGGAAGAAAGTCCCAGAGCCAGGAGGCTGTGCCTGCTTCTGGCTGCCTTGGTGGGCAGGTGGAGGGTGTGGCTAGAGGCTTACTGCAGAACATTAAAGCTGCTTGTCACAGAACCTTCACCACTGCCTCAGGGTTTTGGATTGGATTGTTTGTTGTGTTTTTGATTGGCTTCTGACTGGTTTGGAGACTCAGTTGGGATGATTCAGTTGTTTTTCTGCTCCAAGATTCATGTGGAGCCAGCAGCCTGGTGCTGTCAAAGCTCTGCTTGAGGTTTGGTTCACAGTGTGCAGACCCAGGCAGGGGCCCCCAGGGCAAGCCCACTTGGGCACATGGGGCTGACATGCTGGGAGGGTCCCTGTCACGGGTTCAGGGACACTAGGGGTCTCCTGGCCTGTTGAGTGGCTTCTCCAGGGGAGCAACATGAGCCTTCTCCTCACTGTGGCACCTGGAGCCACCTGCCAGGTATGGGCGCTGGGTGGGAGGGGAGGGGACCACCCACCTCTTCTGCTGCCCCTTCTAGCCCCAGAATTCCCCCTGAAGGGATGCAGTGATTGTGATCCCTGGGTCATGTGGGGCTGCCTCAGGGGACCTTCCTGGGGTTCTCCTCAAACAAGCTTAGAGCTAAGCTAAGTTTCAGTCTAAACTGCTGCCTCTTCCTTGTATTTATCAGCTGGAAGGATGGTAATTGTCCCCCAGATGTACCCTGAACTCCCGGTCTGCACACAGACTGCAAGGAGAGCGTCCTCTGCAGCAGCGCTGCTGAGGGCCCCACCCTCAAGCTCCTGGCCCGGAGGGGAGGCCGGTGGGCAGACCCAGAACTGACCCCATAACACCTAGAGTGATGAATTAGGAAAAACACAGGTCTGATCACAGCATGGCTTGGCTTAAAACTTTCCATGCTTTCTTATTGCTGTGACACAGGCCGTGATTGCCACCATGACCCATGGGGCCTCGGTGATAGGCCCCGCCCGCTCCTTCCCTGGCCCCCACAGCAGCTGCTCAGGCTCTGACCTGTGTCCACCTCAGTGCCTTTGCACAAGCTCTTCCATCAGCTCAGTGCCCCTTCCAAGAAACATCCACCCTCATGAGCTGACTAATGACACATCTCTCGTCCCAGGCCCTGCCAACTTTGCACTTTTCCTTCATGCCCTTTGGAAGTTCGTAATTTTGTATCAGTGGCTATTGCCTTTCCCTTCAGGGGGCAGGGATCGTGTCTGCTCCCAGCAGCTGGCGTCCCCATTGCTGCCTGCAGTGCCTAAGTGTCTGGGTGGAGGTGCATGCCCAGTGTTGGTCATGTGCTGGGGTGGCCTTTCACGGGTGACCTGATGGGCCTGCGGAGGGAGGACACGGCTCTGCTGGGCTGCTGGGAGCAGAGAGGGATGAGACCAAGAAGGTTCATGGGGCAGATGGTGCTGCCTGATGGGCGTGTGTGGCGATGTCTCCAGGTGTCAGCGTGGTTGGAGAGGGAGTAGCAAGGCCGGAGCTCCTGGGCTTTCTCATGCCAGGCGGTGCAGCTTGCACTCCATCCTGCAGGGAGGGTGGGGTGGGGATGGCGGCGAGACCATCAGATGTACTTGGCAAGAGAGAGGCCCTGCTTTGAATGGGAGATTGTCAGTGCAAGGTGAACTCTGGGCAGGTGAGGACAGTTTACTCCTTGGAGCCCAGGTGCTTCTGAGTTGAAGAAGGAGTTCATGGCTGCAGACTCAGTGTTGTGCCCATCCTCAGCCCCAGGTGCCCCCGTGTGTGGTCCTAAGTGTTTCCTCCCTCCGTTGCTGTGACAGGCCAGC